AGTGGGTAGGGAGTGATATGCAGTGTTCATGTAATGATGTTCACACAAAAAGTTAAAATTAAAAAGTACTGAGACACAAGAAGTGTAGCAAATGAACAGATGGTAACATTGGGAAATACTGTCTTTCCTTGTAATGATCCTTGGATAATAACTTATGGAGGTGGTGTTGACATTGGGAGTTTGAGAGATGACAGAGTGGTCAGTAAAAATAAAAACTTGCCAGAGAGCAAATTTAAAATGATGTTTTAAAACCAAAATTTTTCTTGGAAATTTGGAGCCTTTGATGCTGGTCCTTTCTACATGAATTTTAAGCAAGCCATGCAACATTTCCAAGGTCCCGTTTTTCTTGATTTTAAAACTTCAGAAATTCCCAGCTGATTTCTAAGTGTCTTTCTATTATTATACTTTTATGATCCTCTTTGAAACTTTTTGGCTGTGAAAGAAAATAGAATGACGTTTATAGTCTGGTGGCTTAAAAGTTTCTTCAAGATATTACTTGCACATATAAGGAAGGCAACACTGGAAAAGCCTCGTGGAAGAAATGAAATTTGGATTTTCCCTAGATGAAGTCATAGGTAGAGTGAATACATGCTCTTCAGAAGAGAGCAACACACTGGGGTTAAGAGCAGATTTCTCTGAGTACAGACACTGGGCCAGGCTTTCTGATTGAAGGCATGAGGCTACACATTGTCCCAAAGCCCTTCACCTCAGAAGCCCTCAGTCCACCTAGAGTGAAATGAGACAATAACTACATTAGACAATTTAGTAGTAGAAAATGTGTGGTGCTGAAAGGCCAAGAAAGGCAGTGGATACTCAAGATGTTAGAGTCTTTTTTATTTTGAGGAATTCATAGCTATGCACAGAGGCAGGGTATTCAGGGAGGAACATGGCATCTGGAACGTATCAAGATATATAATGATGCACTAATTGTTATCTTGAAATATTCCAGTATAATATTTGTTCACACATAACACTTGTTCATTATGGTTACATGAGATTTCAGTAGTGAGAATAAAATGATGAATGTAAATAATACTGCAATAAACATGGGAGTGCAAGTATCTACCTAATTCAAGGTTCTCAAACTATGGGTTGAAACCCATTTGGTCTAGCAACCCTTTAACAGGGGTTGCATGTCAGATAGCCTGCATATCAGATTTTTATATTATGATTCATAACAGTAGCAAAATTGCTTTTATTATGTAGCAATGAGAATAATTTTAGGTTTGGGGGGGGTCTCCCCAACATGAGGAGATGTATTAAGGGGTGACATTAGGAAGCTGAGAACCACTGCTCTAACTCATTTCATTTCCTTGATATCCATGAGTGGAATTGCTAGTGCACATTTTAATGATGCACCATGATATTACCGTAATATTTAGTATTTAATGAGTAGTCAGTATGTATTTGCTACTGGGACTCAACAAATTTTGCAAACTCACATATAAATAAAGTGTGAGAAGGGATCATGGAAGAATGAGGCAACAACTTGATGGAACGGGACTAGTGTTTTACTAGGTGGAGAGTGAAACAGGATGTGACATGAAAATCACCCCAAGAAAAGCAGACAGGAGTGAGCCCAGTAAGTTTTCAGTTAAGTCTACCTTAGCTGTTCAATGTCCATTCATTTCTTGGGAGGTTTCATATTTGAACAAATGGAACAATTAAATTTGATTCAGTGAAACAACAATGTGTAAACAGCAACAATCACTGACCAAGTCAGTGTTCTGGATGCAATAAGAACAGGTCTGTGGGTTGCTGGTAGCAGTATTTGTGTATCTAAAAGGACAATAATATTTGTGACAGCTTAAAAGTACCAGAAAACAAAAAATAACAGCTTATTTTCACATAAGCAATTCTAAACTGAAACATACTGAAATTCTTTTGAAAACCTTATTAATTTTGGGTGTGCTGTGTGCATGTATATGTAGGGTCCATTTGTAGAAGTGCTGTGTATATATGTGTACATATGTGTAGAGGCCAGAAGATATCCTCCAAGACATCCCCTTTGTGTACATGTGGGTATAGGTGAATATATGTCTGTGTGTACATGTGTATGCGTGTTTGTACGTGTGTGTGTGTGTGTGTGTGTGTGTGTTTGAAAGTAGCCTGGGGTTCAGCATCAGATACCCTTATTTATTGCTCTCTCCCTTATCTTCTGAGGTAGATCTGAACCTGGGGCTTATAGATCCCACAGAACTAACTGACTAGCCAACTCCAAGGACCCTTCACCTCCTTCCTAATGCTAAACTCTTAATGACAGTTCTCCAGGAAAGTGCTACAACCCTGGCCATTTATGTAGATTCTGCAGAATCCAGCCACAGGTACTTCATGTCTGAAGATCAAGAATTTTATCCAAGTCATCTGCCTAGTCCCTGCTAATTATTTTATTTTATTTTTGAGATTGCATTTCTCAGTGGTCTGGAACTGATCAGTTAAGGAGGGCTGGACAGCCAGTGAGCCCCAAGGATCTGCCTATCTCTGTCTTCCCAAGTACACATCACCAGTCTGCACCTTTTACATGGGTTCTGTGGTTCAAACCCAGGTACTTGTGCTTGTGAGGCAAGCACCTTATTGAGTAAAAGCCTCAGTCCCCTGAAATTCTTGCTAAATTGTAAAGTAAAATGATTAGTGACAAATATACATCACAACAGAAATAGAGATGGAAACAACCGAAAATCGTAAATGTATTATCTGATGTGATCATACAATATTTCAGAATAACTTTGAGAAGTACAGAGGTGATAATCATGGAGTGAGTGCCACGTGGTGCCATTATTTCACATGAGCTTTTGTTTCCTTCTGAGTTGACAGTAAAGTGAAATCTGTTGAACACTGGGGCATTTGTGCAGGGAGGTTAAAAGGGGTTTATAGTTTTTCACAGCTTGTAAAACACAGTTTAGATAAAGCAGTCTATTTTGCTAATAGAAAAAAAAGACCTCTCTGTGAGAACACAGAAACCCTAAGGTTAGTCATCTACACCAGTATCTTGAATAATACAGAACAAAGCCGCAGCACTTGTGTGTCATGATATAGGTTTCTGGTTTCTGATGGAAAGGTCTGTCAATTGCTGTTAAATGTGCCTCAGAGGGAGCTAGGGATGGCATGCAGTGCTCAGATTGTGGGTAAGCATTGCACAAATGAGTCACCCTTTATAATTATTCTTACATTTTCCCTTTTAAAACTGGCCTTCTTGGTTTTTTTTTTTTTTTTAAGTCTATAGATAAAATCCTAATGTCCCAGAGAACCTATATTATAGTTTCTAATTCTTAACCAAACAAATGTAACCACAAAATATACATTTCAAGTTATACTTAGTGTGTTAATAGAGAAACATGAACTTTGATGTTAGGGTGCACTCAATAAGTTTGCCATAATTATTGGAATAAACATATCAGCGAACAAGTATAGAGTACTTAATCAGTAGCAGACCCCAGGATAAGAATTTAAGCTGTGTTTCCAAACAACCCCTGTCGTTTTTGTGTTAATTCACAGTAGCATCCTTATAGCCGCATTGCTATTAATAAGTTATGGTATTCCAAAATGAAATTCCAAAATCTGTTCTAGGGCGCATTAAACTTTGTAGGATACTACATTGATTAATATTTTAAGGTTCACTCTTACTAATTCAGGAGTTTAGAACCTGTTGTGAGTACATTAGATTATGAATTTAGAATTTGAGTTAACTTGGCATGTTTGCATGAGATGTCGTCACATCATGATGAATTCATCAGCTGCAGTGTCATTACTAGTTGTAAGGATGGTTAAATAAGGATGCTATACTAATAGATGACACAAGGGTAGCATTTTCACAGCTCTATAGCGTGGATCAGTTTATATTTCAACACCACCTAGTTTCATTGTGTATGTAGTTGGTATTTTTCTATTAGGGATAAAAGGAATAAAACTTAAAAGTATAAAACAATACATGTGGTATTTAAAAAAAAATCCCCTATGTTCATCTAAGGAAAATACATTTTTTTCAGAGAAAATGTAGCTTTTATTAGTCTCCAGTTTTGAAAGTTTACTATTACTGAAGAAATTATTATGCTACTTTTTGTGCACACTAAATTAAAATTATCCATACATTTCATGTGGTTAGCATGAAGCTGAGTTAACAACAGTATATAAATAGAACTTTGGGTTGGATAATTCAAGTTTCAAGAAAATATTTCTATAAAAATGCCCACTAAGATGTTAACATAGCTAAATCTATGTTATTTATAGATTGGATTATATAGTTAATTATTAAATATTGAAAAGAACTTCTGACAGTTTTCTGTGGAGTGTTTCCCTAGTTATGACACAGTTTATATTTTAAGAAGAAAAATGCAAGTGCCTAGGCTTAGCCTCAACACAACAAAAATGCAAACTGATTATTTTTATTGATCATAACCTTGGTTTGCAGTTTTTGAATTTGCATGCCCAATTAGATAAATATAAAACTCTGTGACATGAAGTTTGGGCTTGAGTGAGACTCTTCAATCAATGTTCAGCTTCATTCTGAAAAGTTTCTAAAGTGTTTAGTGGAAAGTTTAAGGCATTTCATGTATTAATTTCAATGCTGTGCCTCATCATTTGCCTTGATATTTTACATGAATTACTTCACTAAATAGGCTGTCAAGAAGTTGGACTGTGTGGTGCCTGCAATTAAAAGCTGCTTCTCTGTTGCTGGACATGTTGTTCATGTTAGTGACCCCATGGGTCTCCCAAAGTCAGCCTTTAACATTCCAGAATTTTTACTGTGCATCTGTTGCTGGCGTCTTGCCTCCCACCCACACAGGCTCAGTCTAACTAAGTGGGGTTTATGCTAGTGCAGTCAGTGTGTCAAGATGAAGTCATACTATGAGAAGGTGCCTCCTTACTAGTGGGGCTGCAAAAAAAGCTTTGCGGGGAGTTTGTATGCACATTTGTTAAGGAAAACAGTACGTGGGTGTGGAGTCTGAAAAGTAATTTCTGAACAGTATGTCTTATGTATCTTTCCGCATTATGTGTTCCAGATGGGCTTTATACAACTCAACGAGGACTTCATATTCATTGAGCCATTCAACGACACAATGGCCATCCTAGGTCACCCACACCGTTTATACAGGCAGAAAAGGTCCACAGAGGGCAAAGGCAGGGAGAAGTCAACTCTTCACAACCATCACTGCGGTGTCATTTCAGGTAACCCTTCCTGAAAAGATTAACTCAATGTATGCTGCGGAGTGAGTTCTTTGAAGCATTCTGTCTCCATCTTTCCACATCCCCTTCTCCCGGTGTGCACTCACCCTCCGTTTCCTCGACCTCTTGATTCACTTGATATTCTCATCTGTTTAATTAGATATGTCCATGTTAGGTGTATTGTTTAGTGTTTTTATGAGGCACTGTAGTTTAATATCAAAAGATGGAAATTCAAACATTCTTCAAGGTCAGCATGTGACCTCTCTCTGTCTTGCTCTTGACCTGGGAAGTCTTTCTTAGGTGGTGCTTTGCACTGCACTGGGATAGAAATGACTGACAGAGTTCTAGACTTACTGTGAATGAATACTGTGAGCGCCAAGCCTTACTTAGTCCACCTCCAGGAGAACTGTATAGATTTTGCTTTTCTCTGACTAGAAGCATCCTCTGTGTTCTTTTAAACATTTAAATGTCATCTTGGAAGATCAGCACCAGAACAGGAAGGAAAATAAAAACATATATGTTTAATTCATACTCTGTACCAGATTATAGAACCTTTTAGAAGCACACAAACATTTCAGCCATTGAGTTCCCATTATGTTCAATCTACCAATTCCCAGGAATAATAACGTGGCTCTATTGTTTACTTTCCTGTGATGTCTACACAGAAATCTATGATACCTGCAAGAATAGGAAGATGCCATGATCAACATCAGAGTAAAATCTTCCTCTAAGACCGGTGCTTTAGATATTTAATGCATCCATTTCAGTGAGTAATCACTAAAGAAATACTTTTTACTATAATGTGAAAAAGGATGAATTTTAGAAGGATTTTCAATGTAATGAGTTTAAAGTTAGACTTGTGTGTTTGCATTTAAGTATTAATGTAATTGATATATAGGACGTAAATTCTAAAATTGACTGTGTTATTTGAGGCCAGGTTTATGAAGTGTGACAGTAAGTAATATTTGCAGAGACCACAACTCTCTAGGGGTTTCAGTTTAGAGAAAACTTATGATACATTTTTTTAGGATGTATTTTTTAAATATTAATCATAAATTCTACTTTCTTTTGTGGAAACTCTTTCCATATAGGTGAGATCCTTTTAATATCTGATGCAATTTACCAGAAAAGACCATGTTATGTAAGATAAGGCCTGTTTCCTATTTTATAAATTTTTATTTCAAATGAGATACAGAGCAGAATGAAAGTTAGAGCATTATGGACAAAAGAAGAACATATTTGTTATTTGAAACTAAAAACAATAATGATAACATGGACGTACTCCATGTAAGACTTTTGCTCTGTGTAGTTACCCTGAAAATCTGCAATGTGTACCTTCTGTGTCCTGATGAGCTCCCACCTTTAACTACCCATGTTATCTAAAGGCATAGTGGAGGCTTTGTGGGCCATGGTTCACTGAGGCACACACTCGGAGAGTCCTTGTGTTAATAGGTTAATAAAGCGTAAATGCGTGATTCATATTTGGCAAACATTATTCACAGTGTTTCTGATATACATTACATAAATATGCATAATATATTGACTTATTTGGATAAAATACTTGCATGCAAGGGCAGGAAGCTGTCAGCAGTCAGATGATTTGTTGAGCTTACCTCTATCGGGGAGCTCTGTCTTTGGAAAGTATTTTAAAATTAGCCACATGTGAAATGTATTTATTTTCTTTCACTCATTTATTCACTGTCACTTTTTTCTTTGTACTTTGGGCCTACACATTAACACAATAATGTGACTTAGGTTTGCTTCAAGATTGTCTTACAAAATAGAATTTGAAATTTTGTTTCAGCTTGGTTTTTGTCTTGCTTTTTTCCACCGTGTAACTATCCTAGGTAGACTACTTGTCTTTGCCTTGAGTATAGGAATTACTTTTTCACAGAAACTTTCCTACTCTTAGGATGACATTTTGGATTCCTTTTTAAATTAATTCTTTTTTTGAGAATTTCATATATGAACAATGTTTATATAATTTCTACATATCTCTCCCGTTCCAACTCTTCCTGTATCTCCCTTCAACTTCATGACCTATTCTCTTTAATTATTATTTGTACACACACATACACACATATTTATATATACACTGTGCATATATAAATCATCATGCAGAGTATATTTAGTTTGCTCATATACATACATACATACATACATACATACATACATACATACATACATCAGGGTTTTATCCATGGAGAATATAGATTTCTCTCTTTATTTTGGTATTCATTAGTATGTATCTCTTTATTTAGGGGTTAGACTTTGTGAGATTTTCCTATCCACATTGTCATGTCCTGTGTGTGTTGTCATTATTATACAGGTCTTATTTAGTATATCTTATTATTGAGATTTCATTAATTGGTATAGTTTTTTGATATACACATACATATTCATACACATACACACACTCAAGTGTGCAAGTACACACGCAACAATACCTTATAGCAGGCATCCTGGGGCCTCTGGCTCTTATAACCTTTTACTCACTTGGTTTGTAATGTACCCTAAGTACATTACCCTAAGGGATTGTGTTGTAGATGTGTCAGTTGCAGCTGGGCTCAGTTGATCTCTGCATTTTTGACCAAGTGGGACTTTCTGTAATGGTCACAATCTCGTGCACGAAGAAGCTGTGATGAAGGTTGAGAACTACCCTTTCCCCTTTCCTGTGGGCATAGGGACCATTTGGAATGCAGTTAGGAAGTATACTGGCTTTGGAAACTGGCAGCAGTAGGTTCTCCTCAGGATTCCATGGCTTATAAGTCATGAGTAGTTGGCTCATAGTACTAGAAATACAGTCTATCCTATTAAGTGTTCTTTAAGTTAAATTCGATAGTTGCAGGTTACTTCCAAGAAATAAATGTCACTTTTGTACCCTTGTGGATGTCTTGCTAGGATGGTTGTTGTTTGGGCCCTAGATGTCACAGCTGGACCAGCATATTGATTGCTTTTCCCCTTTGGCAGCTTGCATATTAAAATATAGTAGAAAAGAGAGGATGGAAGAGTTTAAAGTCAGCGGCACCAGATTTGAAATCTATCTTTAATCACTCACCAATTAGTAATCAGTGAGATTTATAGTTTTAAATCTGTCATCTATATTGACTCTGTAACCACCAGTCAGCTCACAATGTTGTAGGGCTAACTGACAAAATTCCTATTTCTAAGTGGAGAATAACACATTGTTTTAAAAGTAAGTCAAAAATTATATTGTACAATGGTAAGTGTGATGAGAATCTCAGTTCATAACATTCCTTAGAGTGCCGAGCTGGGCAACAGGAATGCTGTGTACAAGCTAAGACAATGATCTGTGAGGTCAGACTGCCTATGTTCACACCACCGCATTACACTCTTAAGTATGTGAACTTGGGGAACTCAGCTCTCTAAAGGTCCATTTGCAGCATGCAAGTTGGGAACAGGATACCTGAACCTCAGTGCTCTCCTCTTCATTAAATGTGGTTACATAGGAAAATGAAAAACGTATGCACAGGATTTTTTTTTTTTTGAGATGTTAATGGAGCAAGAACATTTTGGGCAGAAGAAACAAAATCCAGGAAAGTGTAAAGGCTTGAGAAAGCATCAGCCAAGGGGGTTGGAGCCAAATGTCTGTACTTGATGATATCCAGTCCTGGAAAAGTAGCTGTGCACTGGATAATGATGGCACTCTTGTGCTCTTCAAGTGACACTGTCAATTAATTTAATTTTAAAGATTTATTTCATTTTATGTGCATTGGTGCTTTGTCTACATTGTGGGTCTGTATGAGGTTGCCAGATCCCCTGGAACTGGAGTTACAGACAGTTGTGAGTTGCCATGTGAGTGCTAGGAATGGAACCCAGGTTCTTTGGAAGGGTAGTCAGTGCTCTTAACTGCTGAGCCATCTCCAGACTGACATCATTAATTTATATTGCTCAACACTGGAGAGTAAACTTATTATTGTGCCTAGGACTCTGTAAGAAACACTGGACATTTATGGGACTGAAAATCCAAGTCTGAGCTGGATAAAGAGATCATCTCTATTCCTAGAGTTGACTCAACCAGGCCACTATTGAAGCATCTCCTATACTCCACCCAGCACTGCTATGATGATTGTCAGTGTTGGCAGGTGAAAAGGGGACACACATTTTCCCGCCTATTATCAAATTCCTTCTCTAATGGGAAGTGTGAAGAAGCAGTTGTCTATGTGGCAATATGCATATGTCCAGAGAAGGATCTGAAGATTTAAGAAATGAGTAATGAGCTAAGCAGAGTTGTAGACGGTGACAACATCAAAGGAAGGAACAAGATAAAAAGAATGTTTCATTTTGCATGGCTTCCGCACACAGTGACTAGGTTGTAAGAGAGACTCTGTTATGGAGCTGAATTGTTAAGAAACAGAATGTTCCAGATAGTCTATGTAAATGCAACTTACCAAAAGAGCAGTGGAAGCTGGCATATTGGCTCTTACTGTCAAGGAAAGTAAATGTTCTATCTACCTGTCCACACAGGGAAGAAGCCCTCTTTGCTCTGTTCAGTCCCCACTTAATGTCAGTCACTGTCTTCTCTGAGTGTCTTCTACATTATCTCCTGGTATATAGACATTCTCCGGGAAGGCCATGTTTTCTTTTTTATCTATAATTTCACTTATTTTATGAGGACGATAGAAGTCAAATTGGTGGGTTCAACTTAGTTAAAAATTCTGTCCCGACTTCCAGGTGTTACTAGATCCTATTCAGATGTTTGTCTTAGAAAATGAAAAGTTGAAGCTATCATTAAAGATTACATTTTATTCGTGGTAAAAATCAAATTCTTATTTTAACTTTCTGTTTACAAATGGTGTAAAAATCCTTTATAAATTTTAATAGTACAATACCCATTTCATTTCTTATGCTATCAGTTTGATCTTAACACTAATTACATGGTTTTTTGTTTTGTTTTGTTTTCAGTTGAAATTGATTTACTGTCAATTATAGAAAGTTTCTGGAAGCCTTTAAACATTTAAATAACTATATTTTATGGTAATTGTTAACCTTTTTAATACAGGGTTGAGAAATACACTATTTAGATGCCTTTTATGACTAGGAGTCCAAGAGGGAAATCAAGCAAAACAGAGAGGAAACACTGACAAGACTGAGTGGCTTCCCTTTAAAGTCAATAATCAGGATGCCTCCTTTGAAACCAAAATCAGAGCCATAGCACACAGCTCCCTGACAGTGAGGAGCCAGCATTGGTAGAAACAGTGCTACTGGGGAGATGAGTAGGAGAAGAAAGGAATGGTGTAGCTGTTCTGGGTTTACTCAAAATTATAATGCTTTAAAATACTACCTGAAAGGCTGTAGTCTTAAGGAAAACTAGAATGCTTGGTTTAATGCAGAGACAAATGGTTAAAAAGGAATTGAGTAACCATCTGTTCACATTCATCTTTAATGTTCAAAATCCCTAAAATTCCTTACAGGCTACCTGTAGGCCATGAAAGGAGATCTTTGTATACACTGATTATCTTTAAAATTTGGCAAGTATATGCAAGCGAAACAGTATCCTCTTGTCCTCAGGTGGAGGTCTTTATGTAATGATGCATACAGACTTGAGAGCAGAATGTGACATAGATACGGAGGTTAGTAAGGAGTAATTCACAAGAGGCACCTTTTGAGGATAGTGAGAGACTCCGTAGTAGTTCTTGGAGGCTCTAAATTGCTAGAGTAAATAATAGTGGTTCAAATAAGATAGCAGTTTATATCCACAACAAGTTACAGTTCAGACATTTTCAGAGAGCCAGGGCAAGATAGGGAGTATGATCCCTGTGATATCAGCCAGTGGCGCCATATTTTTTCCCGGTTACCGTTTCCCATGATCCCAGCCCCACCGTGTTATCCCCTGTAATGTATACCTGAACCTCACCACACTTTATCAATTCTAGCACACTGGGATGGAAATGAGAGAAAGAAGGATAAGTAATTTTGTTTTAAAGATGATCTAGGAATCACACACACCAGTTTTCCTCATGGTCTACCCTTGGTCATTGAGCTGGATGGTCACACAGTTGAACTTTAGACTACACAATGCTTCTGGTTGGACAGTTACAAACCAGCCAAGCGAGCAGTGCTAGGGACAGAGTGGATACCTACAGGCAGTTAGTTATCTCTGCTACATCTACCTTCCTAAAATCAATGAAAGGGTAACATCTTACAGAAATAGAAAATGTGGAAACACGTTCAGAGTTTCCACTCCATTTCAGTTATTGGATATTCCCATATTCATCTCGTCACGGGAGTGAATGAATGTTCCACAACACATGGTGTTTCTCACTTCCTTTCAAGGAAAGTGATGATAAAAGTATGAGAAATTTTTCATGACCCATTTATTAGGTATTGATTCTAGCATGCTAAGTCTCTTCATAAATAAACTTGCAGGATTTTTCTCAGCTAATACTTGTTGTAAAGTAGATTTGGGTCTATAATTATAGGTATAATTTACACCACAGTTGGAAACAACCACATGGTTAATTTTTAAGTGTCACCATTACATGGGTTTTATAAAGTGTCCTAGACTGGGAAACACTATTTAACTTAATTTCTATTCTTGTCCATTCTTTGGGACTTTGACATTCACTTCTTGCACAGTTTTGATTGCATAAAATCCAATCCTACCCGTGGATTCTGTAGCACATGCCCACTCTTGTTGTTGCCACTTTGCATTGCCTTTTTAGACATTGCTGTGCTCACTTCCAGTACATAAAGGGCATTTGCTTTTATTTTCCTGTGTACATTAACTTAGTGAACTGACTTTATGTGATATTCAAGTAAAATTTGTTTTATTAAGTAGATATTTAAATTTCTATTATTATAAGAAAGGAAAAAAAAAAAAAAGCAAAACAGTACTCGTGAAGATACCTAAAACCAGAGAGCTCACTAGCTATTGACTTGGCATCTGCTTCATCTTAGATCTCAGGGCTGATTTGCCTATGTAGAAGGTAATAAGAGAGGGCACCTAGGAGGTCAAATAATTCAAGATATACATGAATCCTGGAATGTGCAAATGTTAGAGATGGTCACTAAGATGGAGTCATAGAGTCAAGCTGAAAGCAAGGCACCTACTGTTGAGTACAAATGTTTACCATAAACCAGTTAAATGAATGGAAAAAGTAAGAGTACCTCTCCTGAACTCAAAGTTAGACATCCAGGGAATACCACTCCGCCCATTCAACCAAACAGTTTTCTTCCCATTTCCAGAGACTCTACAAATTGTGGTTAAGAAATTAAAACTAAATGCTGGTTAACAAGGAAAAGACATGTGAAAACAATGTCAGCATAGAGTTTTGCATTCGTTATTACAGGAGCAAGAACTGATTCAGCCGTGGATTGTGGAGACTGTTATATGACCATTGGGATTAATTGAACTTTATTAAATAATGCATGTAAAAAGCTGCTTATTTATGTCACATCAGTATACCTCAATGAAGCTGTTAAAAAAACATAAACATCACTGTAGCAGCACTCGAACACAGGTAGTTATACAGTGTTACACATGAGCCACCACTGAATCGAGTAAGGAAGTATCTGTACCACACACACATCCCAGTTGTGTTAGCTCCTAGCCCATGGTCAAGGTCTTGCTGTCCAACTCCAGGCCTTGCCAGATTGCACATGGCCTCAAACTGCCCGTTCTTTTGTAAGTGGCTTCTTGTTACAGGATAGCATGAGTTTTGAGATCCATCTATAGATATATATTACAGCAATTGTTTTCTTCCCATTTTATTCCTCTGGTTTTCAGTAACTAATTAGGCCAAAATTCAATCCATTAGACTGTTGATGGCTTAGGTGAGCTAGTAAGAACAGTGCAGTTCTGAGTAATGTGCCCATACTTTGTGTGCAATTCTGATGGAGGTATTTGAGAAATGATCATTGTATATATATAATTTCATGTCAGAAGACCATGATAAATCAGATTTTCAGTGTGCGTATCCCAAAATTGGACACCCGTATGTTTTGTATTGTTGATTGTTATTTCACTATAACCTTTGGAAGTGTGAAGATAAACACCCAAATTCAATCAATCATTTTTCCTGGCTGTTACAATTTAACTGTTCTGAATATGCACCACATACACTTGGCTGTTCAGTTGTCCTGTCAATGTTCAATATTATATGTCCTTTAATTTTACTCATCATAGGGACTTTGATTTATTTATAATCGCTTTTATGTTTTCATGTTGCCAAACCTGGTTGAAGCCTCTCTTGAACATAAATTGGAGATTTAGAGGTTTTTGTTGGTGGTGGTTTTGTTTATGTTTTTGTTTTTATGACCAACAACTGTTCAAGTCCATGGTCTGTGTTTCAGTTTTGTTATCTTGTATTAATTAGAATATTTTTTCATTTACATAATCTGGAAATAGCCAATGTCTTCTTCAACTTTGGGGAATTCTTTTCACTGTGTTGGTGGCATTATTTCACGAACAGAACTGATTAATATTTCATGGTCAAACACATCATTTTCTCAATTGCTGCTTTAATTCAGGAACATTTAAGGGATTGTTATCATTGTAAGGTCTAACTTTTAAACACACAATGGGAGGTGGAGTCAGAGCCTTGCATCTCTTTCATGATGATTTAGTAATCAGAGCCTAAGATGTGCACAGCAGTAGTTTTAGGTACTTTTGACAAGCAAACTTTTCTTTTGTCATCAGGGTAAAAAAAAAAAAAAGTCACTAACATTTTCTGTTTATTATATTTTATTTGGATTCTTTGTTATATGCGTAATCCATCAGTGACTCTAGCAGAAAGGTTTCACTAAAATTCACTTTACAGGGGGGAAACTGAAGAGGACTGGAGGACAAAAGTACACATCTACTCCAAAATCCTCCAAGATTCCATCTTGTAGGACTTTGCTTGGCGTTGCTTTCTATCCTGAACTACCACTATAATAGATATACTGAAAAATTCACTTCTCTGTTGCAGATAAAGGAAGACCAAGGTCTAAAAAAACAGAGAACAGAAGAGAAAAACGGTATTCATACAAATTGCCCCAGGAATACAACATTGAGACTGTAGTGGTTGCAGATCCAGCAATGGTTTCCTACTATGGAGCAGACGCAGCCAGGAGATTCATTCTGACAATCTTAAATATGGTAGGTGAACCTTAAGGTACATGAAAAGTTTTCAAGAGAACTTTATGTAGATTCAAATCTAAAGAAGTACTTTGTTTTGTAGTGCTGGGCACTGAAGCCAGGGCTTCAAGTTCTCTAAAATTTAACTCATCCCTTTCTCTCACAAATATGAGTAGAAATGTGTTTTGGTGTCTTAGGCACATCAAATTGATAAGTCTCCAATGAAATAGCAATCAGGTCTCCAGACCTTGCTTTATTTAAAAACCTTTGCTGTTGATTTTGAAATGGAAAAAACTGTTAATTTTCTTTTCCTTTCCCCTTTCTGTTCTCTGTTTCGTCCTTTACTTTCTGTCTTTCAAAGACATTATTGATAGTATAACAATATTGTAGCATTGTTTATGTGCATAGTTCTAACACAAGTGTTATAAAATAATTATATGGAGAAATAAAGATAAATTTTGTCAACTCACTTAACTCAAGCGTGCATGCAGTTTTAAATAGCAAGTATGTTTTTAGTTTTCTGAGTTGAACCTAATATATATTATGTAAAATCTAAGCAGGCTGAATCCCTAGAAGCTAACATGATTGCCAAATTCTGGCATGCAGAAGAAGTTTGTGCCTAGTGTTTTTGGGATGATTATCACCACCGTTATCCTTTGACATATTTTGCTGGACAAACTTTCTTCAAGGAAGAATCAGAAAGTACCAATGAAGAGTGGATTTTACAGAAGGGAAAACAGACTATGGACTGATTAGATCTTTCTTCCTCTTGGCCTCTACTCCCCCCCCCCCCCAATGGTTTGCCTTACTGTAGATAGACCCTTCTGCCCATCTTCATCTGCATCTCATACTCTACTAGCTCATACTCTTCTGAGCCAGCCTGACAGCCTGACTTTAGTCCTGTCCCTATACTAAGAGCAGTAGAACCACAACTTTGCTGTGTCAGCCATATGTTTGGTAATACATATTAAATAAATTTTAAGTGAAAAAACAAAAAAATAGTATACCACTTTAAAATATTGTGTTGCCTACCAGTTTTTAAAATAAGGTACTGTTTTTATACTAAGTTCAAATTTTCTTCATGTTTGGCCTTGAACAAAAGTTGCTATGTTTTCATTTAATTTTATGAGTTTTAATTTTTATTTGCTTTTAGGTTTTTAACCTTTTCCAACACAAGAGTCTGGGTGTGCAGGTCAACCTCCGTGTGATAAAGCTTATTCTGCTCCATGAAACACCAGTAAGAAAGTTTGGAGTTTTTATTCAATTAAGTGGGTGAGAAATTGTGTTCAGGAACTTTAAAGTGGAGAGAATTTGAGGGATATTCTTTTATTGACTCAAAATCCAAAAATATCCACTGAATCACTTAAAGTATACATAAAACCGGCCTTTGGTTTGGGTTAATCCCTCAATTTTATTTGAAAAATGGAATGTTCTTAGTTTCCAAGGATCCTAACAACAAACCTTAACTTTCCAAAATGTAATTTTAAGTTATTTTAAAAGACAGCTTTCTTCTATTATTTAAACATATGTGTTCAAGTTGTTTTCTTATCTGTTTTGCAACTCAAATGGAGAGAAGTCTCTGGCATCACTTTGGCTAATTAAAAAATACTAATTAAAGACTACTTCAGAAAAAAGTCTCATAAATTACAGAACAATCTATTTCCCAAGCCTAAAGTATCTGATGTTTAAATGTTCCATTATGCCTCTTTGATTTTTTATGGTAAGTTTATATAATTATTACATCTTCACAAATTTCAACTTTGTTTAATGTTGTATTTTGTGTGAGGTCAGGATAAGTTAAGACTAATTGCTTTCTATATTCTAATTAATGTCAAATTCATCAGTCTGCATTAGTAATTTGGGAAGTTGCCTTAGGATTAATGAACTGATTAATTAGGTATATCTGAGAATTGTCTGATTGGAAAATGAAAGCGGCCTTTGTTGTAGGCAGATCTGTACATTGGGCACCACGGAGAGAAAATGCTGGAGAGTTTTTGTAAGTGGCAGTATGAAGAATTTGGCAGGAAGAACGATATACATTTAGAGATGTCGACAGGTTGGGGAGAAGACATTGCTTCGGTGGATGCAGCTATCCTTATAACAAGGTAAAACGTCCAAAGCCAATTAAGCTGCATCCTTAATTCAGCATCTCTGCTGCTGATCATATCCATTCCTTGGTACAACACTCTTGTTCCAGGATTTCTTGGCATAAAGATTTTAGTCTTCTCCCGCCATTTATTTATCATTGATTTCTTGGAACTTTGATGCTGAATAGATAGATACTCTGCTGACAAAATGTTCTTCAGTTAACTCTAGAAAACTGCTCACAACTGCTGATATCAAAGGTATAGCATTGATGAGAATATGTTAAAACTAAGGAGAATTTCAGTGGAAATGATGTAATATAAGCATATACTGTGTTTTTCAGCCATCCCTGTACAAGGGTTAGCTTCTTAAGTCGAATTCAGTGTGATTCATAGTTTTCTGGGTCCATCCGAGCACAGGTTTTCTGATGTATCTCTAGCTAATTAACTGAAATGCTAAGTGAGCATACTTAGCATAAACATTTGTAATGCAGGAGTAAGCTTGTAGCTTTGAAAACATGGAACAATACACAGCAATATGTACTGTGTCTGCTCTCTGTATTAACAATTGTCAATGACATTGTTTTGCTTCCAAGCAAGAGCTGACAAAAAGTTCATTATGTGCTAGTGATTTAATCTGAGGTCCTATCATATCAGTGACAGCAATATAATATGAATTGTCTGGAACCAACGATATTTTCTTATTCCTCATACTCAACAATTCTAGCGGTTAACCTTTTGTACATGAAAACTGTATGAGAGGACATGAATGGACTTCCAGTTCCAGGTGAGTGCATGTAACTGATACTGGACTTGTTTACTAAATAGTCATGTGAAAATGTGGGTGGCAACAGTTCGAAGTCATTGGAGTATAATCCCTAAAAGATGGAAAATGTACTAGGGAGCCCCACAGTTAACCCAGCTCTCTGGCTGAGGGCAGTTTCTCAGCTGATAGAGCATCTAGGATCCAGTAGATCAGCAGGGTGTTTCTGAGAATACCAGAGGACAGAGCCCTAGGCATAAAATGGTGCTGAGAAGTATGTGTACTTGTCATCTGTATAGACTGAGACTGCTCCCAGTTCACCAGAGTGCTATTGCTGTGTTACAACCAATGGTGATAATCAAATGAAGTCAGGCTGCAAGCATGAAGCAATTTTGGTACCTTTTCCTCATAAGAAACACAGAAAGGCTGTGTCATCAGCATGACAATCCAGGAGGATCTGTTCTGACCCAGCACAGTTTTGATGTTAAGTGGAGACTGAGTTCTCCTATTTACAGGGCTTTGGGAATCATCTCAGGCTTTTGATAGATCCTCCATAGTGATGAATAAAAAACAAACACAAAAAGCAAACAAAACCCCAAATGCTTTATAAGATTTGCCTTGGCTATGGTGTCTCTTCCAAGCAACAGAACAGAGACTAAGACAGGTACATGCATTTAAATAAAATGCAAACTATGTCTGGATAGCAATTAAAATCCCAAATTTACTGACTGGAAATAGATTTGTACAACTCTGAGCAACAACTTTGCTTTGTTATTCTCCTTTCTCTTGCTGTCACAAAATGTGTAGTACACTTGGCAGGGAAGCGAGGTGAGTCTGGAAAGAGCTGTGGAGATGAATATGATCAAAACATAATATTATACAAAACTCTCAAAGAACAGGCATAAGTTGAAGAAGATAAACTATACTAAGAAGCATTAAACCAACCGCTTTGGACTACAAGATTTTTTTCAGTTAACCATTCATATAATATTAGCCTTCTAGATTTTATATATTTAACCAAAAATATGACAAGGTTTTAATGCTGAAAACTTACTGAACATTTGTGCTAATAAGAAACAGTCCAATATCTATTGAGGAGTGAATGGACCTATTTTTTATGTATCCATATGAATAAAAATCTTAAGATCATAAACTAGCACTTATAAAACCATAAATCATATCTTCTTGATCATCACATTTTATTAATCTTTCTTTTGTCATGCCTGTTTTCCTTAGAATCGAATCTACATCCCTTTCACATGAATAACCCCAGTAGACTCACATATTTTTCAGAATTCAGTTGTTTCTATTTTAAATTTTTTCATAGTATTACCAGAATCTTCATATTTTATTGTGAACTGACGCAGGAGCACACTTAACCTTTTTGACTAAATGAGTGGAAGTATTTATTGCTCTTAAATGGGTGTAGGTATCATTATCAAGATCTGGACTTTGTCCACTCCCTTGTGTTTCTTGCAGGCCCCATTACTACAGTAGTTGTTTCTTCCATGCAGGCTTCTTTCTTTTCCCAATACAAGGATACAAGATGCAATGAATGCACTAGTTTTTTTTTTTTTTTTTTTTTTTTTTTATAATTACCTCTCTTGGAACAGTTTATGTGAAATATATGCCATTTTAATGAGCAGATGAATAAATCTTGGCACATGTAGAGCTAGTGTATTAGAAGTGGAATGTTTACTTAATGAGTAAAGGAGTTCCCTTGCACTTTTACAGTTTTCTATACATTCAGGACAGGCAGCATCTACATACATTACTTTGACCTGGCTTATAACCTCATATAAAAAGAATTATCCTCCTGAATTTGTAATTAATGTGATGCTTTTGCTTTGAAGAATGTCTTGACACCCATTCTATGCTATTGCACATACTGATAGTTTGATGTTATTGTATTTGACAATTTGAAAATATTAAGTAGATATTCTTTTCCTTTTTTATTATGTCATAAATACCAGACCTTATAATCAGGTAGATTATTAAATTACTCAGTAAAAATTCATATTAATTTGCTTAGAAATAAAGCATAGACCAGTGGACTATTATTATTCATTATTTCCTGCTAATTATATATTTTCTTGTTTATTTTCTCAACATGAAGTTGATAGGAATGTAAAAAGAAAATAATATGAGTTAAAATGGTTAAGAGCTAGAAAAGGGAATATTGAGATTCTATGTAGAAAGTATTCCAAAAGAAATAATTCAAATTTAAAGCTAGATTAAAATTGTGAGGGAAAGCATATGATGACAAAATATATATATCAGAAAAAAATAAATTAGGTTCCAGAGCATGACAAAATTTTAACCTCAGCTAGCTTGGTTATTAATATGTAAGGAATGAACCTGGTACTATGCTTGATCAATAGCAAATATACAATTAAAATAAGTACTACTATTTTCTTACTATTGATGCTTTATTAAAGAATAGAGGAAGGATTATACTGTGGCAAAGATGTAAGCCATAAAGTCTGTGGCATGAGCTGTGTGTGCAGACATTTGGACTTTCGCTGTACCTCTGCAGTGATTTTCTTTAATCCAGTGCTTACTTATGGATTTGCTTACCGTGGTCTCACGGCATGGCAGTCCATACCAGAGGTCTTAACTACTGTGGCACTGAAAAGAAATAGTCCCTTGAACTCATGAGTCAGAGTTCAGCCTGGACTGCATAGGGAGGCCTCTTCTTCAAAGCATACAACAAACTTTCCACATTGATTATATAAGTATAATTGCAGGAATTGACAGTTACTGTCAAGGATTGGGGAGCTCAAGGGGTTCATTTTCTGCAATACACACACACACACACACACACACACACCCCTGGTATTTTATACCTGAAGGAATATTTTTATCCTTGTCAATAAAAAGTTTCTAGATCAGTTATTTGTGATAAAGG